GTGACAAATTGCCAAGTTTGCCTGAGCGTGCATTAGACGTGATGACGAGCACTCAGCCTAATTGTCACAAATGGTTTGTTATGGAGACTACACTCCAATTTCTCATTTTTAGGGCTCCACAAAAGAATTATATCATGGGTGGAGTGTGTGACAACAGATCCAAATGGATTAGAATCAGATTAAATAATAGACATCAACAACTGCCACATTATCTGTCTCTGAGAGGTCCATAACACAATGTTTTGGAATATGCTGCCACCTCAGTCATATGTCTCTTCGGGTCACTGTGAGTTTGTGCTGCAGAGAGACACTCAATCCTAATGGAATTATCATTGTTCAGAGGAGACTGTAGTTGCTTATGAAAAAGGTATGATGTGACCTCATGACGCTGGCCTGCTTTCGTCCTCCTGTGAGAGGCATGTATGGCACCTCACAGTTCCTCTGCTTTTTCTTTCAGGCATGAGCAGGCTGGTGTTCTGCTCCGATAGCCGCTGTGAGGGAAAATAAGGACGCCTTGTCTTTGTGTTTCCTGATGAGTTTAACCTTTAACTGAGGACAGACTGTACTTTGAGAAGCATCTCTTCTGAATGTGAACGAATAAAGAGGATAACAATATATAATGAGGGAAATTAATGATTGTTATGATTAAAAAACAACAAACTGGGCATTAGACTGCTTGGAATAAACAAAAAGTAGGCCTATAACATTTGCTTGAAGAGGAATATTAAAGGTAAAAGTTAAAAGCCATTTTGTGTTCAAAGAAGAAATTGAGATAATTCCAAACATGTGGATTTGTACACCTCTCTCAGACACGAGACCATTTAATCTCATGCTTCTGAATAGGGCACGTTTAGTCCTCCTGAGCCATAGAGATATCATCCTTTGAAAGTTTTAATGTGTCATAAATATGCTGCTTCATGCTTATCAAATCTTTTCCTGTCTGCGTGAGAACTTATGCACAGAAGCACAGATGGGTGAGGAGGTGGATCAGAAGGAGAGAGAGTGTTTGGTTCATGTAAGTTGTCATGGTGTCGCATTGTTTTAGCAATATGAAAAAGAGCCGTGCTTTGAAGACCACCCAGAACAAGACAAATGAATGGTGTTTATATCAAACCACAGTTCAACTAATTCTGAGTAAACACTAATATTTGTAAAAGCATTTTCAATTATGAATTTAAAAAAATGCAATCTTATTAGTGGGTTAAAGGGATGTCAGTCAACTTTGATTATAGTGTTGTGGACATCACAGCAGGACTGATATTTTTCCTCAAATTTGCTGCTTATTCTTGCCTTTATCATCATTTTGAATCTCGCTGCACATACAAAGTTTGACATAAACTTTCCAGTTCCTTGAACTACAGCAGAACCTTTAAACTTTCTCAGTTCACCCACTGTGAGAGATGGTATCAGACCTCATGAGCAACATGCTGGTAAGAAATAGATGGCAGTCACCCCAAAGGCATCCCCCCCCTCTGCAAATTCAGACTTTTGTAGCATGTAAACCTAAAGCTAGCATCCAAAAGAAACGATTAAAACAATCATGAAACTGAGAACTGACGATGGCTATTGTATTATGATCATGTTTTTAAATAAGCAGCCATATGAAAGGTAGGCTATAGTTACTGAAAGACGCTTACATCCACCCCTACGGATAATGCCTTTTCTATTCACCGTCCCATGGTTTATTTATTTTAAATACAATTTTATTGAATATTGATATGGCAGAAAATTGGGCGTACGGTCGTTTCAACGCAAAACTTGGAATTTATCAACGTGAGCGGTGGCTACGATCAAATCTCACGTCTGGTCTCAGCTCGTGTACGCAAGTTTTTGAGTTACCTGAACTTGCGCACAGCATATAAATACGGTGGAGAATGGTAGATTAACAGCATTTTTTTTCACTTTCATATTCCTGACCATCAAACGAAACGCATTAGTCGATCGTTAACCAGTAAGATTAGAATGTATATTACTACCTCTTTTTGGCCGGGTTTCGTTTCTCCGTGTCGTAAACTCTAGGGTCGAGGCTTCTAAACCAGGGTGGTTTTAGGGGCGTGATATTCAAATGACGATTGTTTTCTGCCGCCACATTTATCAACATACGATCATTCGTACGATGAGATTGGCGGCATACGAATGTTTCATGAATCACACGTGAACTCTGTCGTAAGTTGATTTGTGCGCACAGATCTGCGCTCGTTTCTACGTTAGATTGATAAATGAGGCCCAATGTGAGGGAAAAATAATGTTAGTTTTTATTAAAATTATGTAATTAAAAGGGGTAAAAGGTTCTCGTGGAGTGATGGTATATACAGTTGATATAGTGGAAAGAGTGACATGGCAAAATGTGTCACCATGTGCAAATACTTTTCATACAACAATATATTTTTGGAATAAAAATTAACTAAATACTTAATCAAAATAACTACTTTATTTCAAAACCATTTAACATGTCTTAATATCAAGTACTAAAAAACTAGGCCTATTTATTTATCATTCTGTGTTTGTAATTGTATCTGGAAGCTTGTGTTAGTACAAGCATACTTCACATAAGAATCTCCATTGTAATTGGAGCAGTCAATATGGGACTACTTTCTCTGTAACAAATCCATTCTCCTCACTTAAGGAAAACAATTAATTGCAGTACTGACATTCTGCATTTTTCTGCTCTGCAAGCTCAGGGATTTGGGTAGCCTTTATGACCACATCCTTTTCAATGAGAGTATTTAGCTCCAGCAACAATTGTTGTGCTTATTAGAAAATTACTGCAAAACTATTGATTTAATCTTCTAAAAACAAAACCTGCATAAACAAAATCATAAAATGCCTTTTGTCTTAAAATACTTAGGCGGCCTAAGTTAGGCCTATTATAATTAGAATTTTATACTTCTTATAAAACGTATTATTATTATTATTATCATTTATTATCACATTTCAATGTGTTTCAAAATTATTAATGTTAGATCAATTTCAAGAAAATGCTGTGCTGGTGTTTTTGTTACAGCGTTGTGGGAGAAAATAAAAATTAAAAGTGCCTTTTACCACAAGGGAGCTTTAGCCTAAAATCTGCTGTTTATGTCATGTTTATGTAGCCTGATGTGTTTTAAACTTTTAGATGCATTTTTTTTAGGAGTTCCAGAGTTTTTAAGATGATTGAAGAATGTTTGCTTACTCTTGTAACTCAGTGAACACGGCAATAAACAACAAGTAGCATATGCCGATATTTTGCCATTCATATTGTTATTGAATTAGTTGCCTACACGTACCCTGTACTGTATATAATACGGTAATCAGTGTGCAAATTATGGGGGGTTAATTGTGCTAGACGGACATATTTGACTGTTGCGCCACGTCTCTCTGCTTTTTCAGCATCTCGCGCAAGAACGTTGCGTTTTAACTTAAAAAAATGTGTTTTGAGAACTCTATACTCTCTACTGTTCTGTGCAAACGTCCCCTTCATTCTACTAATTTAGGTTTAAAACTGCCATTTCATGTGAGTGAATAAACTAATAAAGAAATTCTTCAGTGAAATTAAGAACTATATCTAATATTGATATTATATTAATATTATATATCTGATATTAATAACTGTTTACAATGTGGCTTGCAGGTTAAACAATGCAGTAAATGCACAGTAGGCTATTAAAGATATTGGCATAGCAGTGTCCTTGGTTTGGGGAAGTCTTAAAGGAGTCATAGGATGCTACATGCACTTTTACAAGTTGTTTGAACTGAAATGTGTGTTGGCAGTGTGTGTACACAACCACCCTATAATGATAAAAATCCACCCTGGTTTTTTTTAAAATCTCGTTAAATGTTTTCCCCTTTCTCAAATCGAGCCGATCTCAGATGCCTGTCTGTGTGACGTCACACAGACAGGCCCCTCCCACGATAGTTTGATTGACAGTAGCGTTTCAGCACAGGCTGGACTGGTGTCTTACCTCAGACCCGCCCTGAGTGAGCTGTCATCAGTCCGCCATTGTTACACCTCTGGAGAAGATGTAGACAAGTCCCGACATCTGAGCCGCTGAACTTGCAGTGGATTACATTGTTTCTTAAGGGAATGCTCCCCCCATCTGCCTAAATGCGTCTATGTTCGCGCGAATCATTCATGATCCAGCCTCAGCTACAGAAGAAGTGAGTATAATGTTTTGTAATGAATCTTAGCAAATTGCCTTTCCTAATAATGTGCTAATTAGCCAGTTTCACAATGAGTGCGGCTAAAGTAAACAGTCTCTCTGAGAGCAGCTTGGAAGAGAGGGGCGGGGTCAGCAGAGCTCATTAACATTTAAAGGGAAATGCTACAAAAACGGCTTGAGCTGAAAAGAGCAGCTAGACCAGCAGGGTAAAAAAAAGTGTTTTTACACTACCATTGAGAAATTTTAACCAAACTATGTTACAGACTTTTCATTAAGACCCTAAAGAATCATATCAACTTGTGGAAAATGGCCATCATATGACCCCTTTAAAGGATATTACTTCCTTTTACTTAAGTACAAGCTATATTTGTTTTCCACTAAGTAAATGTCAAAAAACACAAAAATAGTTTAAGATGAGCTCTATAGAAACGAAATCGCGTTCTCCTTGGGAAGTAACCATAGCAACAGCACTTTGTTTTGAAACTTCCATAGACAAAATAGTTGTCACAAGCCATTATCAAGCCATTATCACATTAGTGTGTGTGTGTGTGTGTGTGTGTGTTTTAAATCATGAATATACCAAAACTTGAGTGCTTTGTTTAGCTAAGTGTGGGCACCAAAATGCCTGATGGTTTTACCAAGACGAGCCTCAACAACAAAAAAAAAAACCGAATTATCTTCACACTGACTATAATATAATGCTAATATATTCTCGAAAAAATCTGCCTACCTAGACAGCCTATTTTGGGAATGTTTCTACGAGGCTCAAAATGCTGTCTATGAAGGCAGCTCACTAGATTTTAAAACACAGCCTCAATGTGTCTTTGAGCGAGATGGAGCCCGCTGTCAGTGATTCTAGGAGGAGCCCACACGCTCCACATGCTCGGCGAGATATGAGCGGCAGTTAGATGCACTTGGATTACCGGCTGCTGAACTGAAACATCGTCTCCGCTCATAAAAATATGTAAAACAGTGACGTTTCTGATTACACGTCTTTTTAACGAGTGGATATTCTCCTCAGTCGGAGATAAAACAGAAGATGCAATGAAAGCATCACTTATTATAGTCCCTGACGATGGAATTCAGAAGCCCAGTGTGAGAAAGTGAAGTACGCGCAGGATTTACATTCTCCTCCATATAACGGTAAGATATTAATTTTATTCTGATGGAATAAACAGCGCTCTATTGCTTTGTTACCTGTATGTTTTGCTTATATGTATAGCCTAAATCGCGTAGTTTCTTTTTTATCTTGTATGGTTTGTGACTTCTACGTATGTGTTGTGCTTTACATTGATATTTGATTTCTGTTCGCTTTGTTATAAAATATAGCCTAGAATAAACTGATTAATAAAAATATGGAGAATAAAAATCAAAGGTTAAACAAAATAGCTCCTAAATTGGCCCAATATAAATGGTAAGTGTCAACCTGGCAAAATGCAAACCTCTGTTTGCCAATATAAATCACTGCAGAAAAAATAGATTAATAATTTCCTACTGTCAATAGCCTACATAAAGGCATGTATTGACTGATCTTAAAGCCATTTGAAAACATGAGCTGAGCTCTTTTATTGGTTTAGCAATTATATAATAAGAGTGCACATGACAGCATGGCAGAATCTGTTTTATAAATCTATTTTAAATATGAGGCATCCAGTCAGATAGTGACAGATATTACCCTGGATGCCTCATAAACTGACAGCGCTTTGAAGTTCCATGCTGGTCTACTGGTCTAGTTAACATCCCTGTGATTATGATTATGACAGCCACACATTTCATAATTTGTGTAGAACATTGGCTCACTATACAGGAAGCAGTGCTTCTAGGTTTCTATCTCCTTTATGGCAGAAGGATTAAATTGGAGTCACCATATATTCCATTGAGAGGATTAAGAGATGCAACTGGGAAATCTGAGATGAAACAAACCCATGCAGATGCTGCTTTTACAGTTTGGTTGTAAAGTAACAGGGATATTTTTTTTAAAAAGTGTTTGTTTTGATGCATATTTTACCTTTTTAGTAACAATGCATGCAAGTTAAATGTCAGAAAGCAACAAAATACTAAAGACACTAAGCAGCGATGTATCTTGAAAAGATTGATTTTTTCTTTGCAGAGATAAGGGTTTGACTTTCCTGTAATCGAATAGTACAAAATGCATTATTTGTGTTGGGCTGAGAGCAGAGATAGAAATAGACAGTGATTTTAGATACCGACTGCTTTTGAAGAATGCTTGTGAGCTTTCACATATGGGTTTCCTTTTTGATCAGCCTGACAAGTTCATCTCAAACACAAAAAGAAGGAACGCAAACAGGAAAGTGCATCACTATAGAGACTGAAAACAACCATGTTAATGTAGGACTAGTTTCAGTCCATGCATGGGGTCATGGACATTCACTTGTTGAGCTCTGCTCCCAATTCAGCTAATGGTTCATGCATTATTCATTAGTGTGTTTCACACTGTCCCAGGCCATGTCTACATGTCTGCAGTGCTGAAAATATTATATGGAGGTAATCTACCAGAAAACTCATACTTGCCACGGACCTAATGGGCTTTTGTAGAGAAGAAAAGTAATAATCTACTTGACTGTGGCATCCACTGATGTATAATTGGACTCTTTTTTATGATTAATACTGACCATAAGTAAGCAGATATTTGAATTTGTAAAGACTTTGTTGATTTTATTGTACCATACACAAGAGAAGTAATTGGATATAATTTACTTCCCTTTGAAAGTGAAGTATATAACATCAGCTCTTAATAAGCACAAAGCTTGAAAATTAAACCCATTAACTGTAATTAAAACATTCAGTTGCATTCAGTTATGAGCACCATTTGTGTGTTATTGTTATACAAAGCATGCATTTTAATGTGCTTTACCTGTAGGATGTAGATTAATATTCTTCATAAGGAGTCAGTTGATGATTCAGCTCAAGCGTAAACAGCCTACCTGAAAATAATTACAGTTTTCGGCTAGGTAATCTCCTTAGAAGGTTTGATGTTAGCTCTGTCAGCTGGATCTTGATTTAATTTGGGCACGTTTGCAATACTCTTGAGCTTAGGTTTTCATCCATACTTGTTCTGGAAAGGCCACACATGAGGAGTGAGGAATCAGTAGGTGGAGCTAAAGTACAATCATGTGCTATATAGCGATCTAGAGTTGTCTACTACAGAGAGGCATTTAGAAGACGGTGCAGTTTGTTTTGGGCCCTTTTTTGGGGGGGGGGGGGTATTTTAAATACTAAACATTTTAAAGAATTGTGAAAATTTATATACTAAAATTTAGGGCAAGTAAGATTATTTTTTAAGAGATTATGGCTTTTATTCAGCAAGAATGCATTAAATTGATCAAAAGTAAATAGATTATAGACTATATTTTTATAAAAGTTTTTTATTTTATTTTAAATAAATACTGTTCTTTTGACTTTTTTTATTCATTTGCGAACCCCATAAGAAACCAGTATAAAAAAAATCCATATATTTTTATTTTATAAAAAAATATTTTCAAAATTAATAAGAAATGTTTCTTCAGCACCAAATCAGCTAGTGAATATTCAGCTTTGCCCCCAATTGCATTTTAAAATATATGAAAGTAATAAAGTGTTCTTTTACATTTTAAACAATATTTCACAATTTTTCTGTTTTTCAAAAACATTAAAAAGTCTTACCAACCCCAACTTTTGAACGGCAGTGTGTGTCATATGATTTATTTGAAGTAAAGCATTCTACTTTGAGCAGCGTCTATTATTATTCATGAGTAATGTCACATGCCCTATTTGTAATGATGTAATGTTCATTTAATGAATTGAGTTCATTTAATGAGTTCATTTTTTCACTCAGATATAAATTATCATGCTTGTTAAAACTGAACTGATTCAGTTTAGCATTTCTAAATGAAGCACATCACATGAACAGTATGCACTCGTTTTCATAAGCACTTGGGCATGAATGAAGAATGTTCTTTTCTTTTGTACATGAGAATTTCTCTATGCGATTTCTCTATTCACAGGAAGAGAAATCAAAATTGTGTGTGCTGGATAAAGCAAAACTGTTTCTAATTTAAGCCTCAAAATAAGATCTGCCTTTATGTCTCAACTATGTTTGTCATTTCCACATTGGTTAATTCAGTTTTTTTGCTGCCGCTTATTTACCCCATTTTGTTCACTCTCATCTCCACCAATGTTATGTGCTAAATTTTGTTAATGCAATCTTACTTCATTTTCCTTCTGGTGGTCTGTACCGCCTATTCTCATTTACAACCTATTTGTTTTTTTCTATTTCCTTGAGTAGCTCCCTGCTCACCGGTAGGCAGGCAGGCCGACAGACAAGCAGAGGTTGACAGCAGGCAATGCATGGTTGGTTTGGAGCGCTCTCTCTCCTTCTTTCTTTCTCTGTGTAATGGGAGTGTTTGGCATCACATGGTCCTGTCTGCTCAATTCACTGCCTTTGTGTCAATGGCGTTTCGTGATTGCTTTGCTTAATATATTGAATACGCAGAACAACCTTAATTGCTTTCCCAAGAAGGTGCGGTTGTTTGTCACAGGTTTGTTAGAAGCAGCTTCATTGCGAGGTTGGACATCATACATTATCAGCATTTCAAGTTCTTGTATTTAATTTATATACACATATGATTTTATACGAATACAATTTAGATACGTTTGGTTGTGGCACTAAAATGCCTCTTAAGAGGATAGTTCACCTAAAAATGATCATTTACTCTGTAGCATATTATTTCAAACCTGTATGACTTTCTTTATTCTGTAGAACTTTATTTGTATGTTCAAAAAACGTTCTACAAAATATCTTCTCATGCTCTGCCAGGTAAAGTACATGATAAAATAATGTTCATTTTTGGTTGAACTATCACTTATGGCATCAAGTAATCTTCATATTGGAAAAAGAAAAAATGCTATGGTGCTTGACTGTAGTAAAATGCGTTAGTAATGTTTTCTCATGTGGACATGCTTAGATGGGACAAAATATGGGACGAGCAAACTGAACTGGCTACATTCTCAGCCTTTTTATGTGATTGACAGTGATGAGCTCAAAATACTTATAGCACAGATGGTTGAGCTAAAATTTATATTTTTTCACACACTAATTTCTTAAAAGTGGGGCAACTGAGAATTCAGTCTTTTGTTTAAAGCTCTTCCTCCGTTGCGTCGTTGCCAGTTGTGTTAAGACTCTCTGGAGAACAAGCAGCACATTTTCACAGCAGGCAAAGACAGACACAGCTGTGCGGGCTTTAACCTCATAGTTGGCTGCTGATAAAAACGAAAAATTCAGCATAACAGGACTGTATTAAATAGATATAGCATTACATTCCATAATTTTTCAATATATTGCATTCAATCTGTTTTTTCTCCTATTGGAATATAACATTAAATCAAGGAAAAATGAATATTCATTTTTTTTCTGGTTTAATAAACCCTTTTTTCCTCAAAAACACTCTAGAAAAATGAAACTGGGAGTAATGAGAAACAGTTTTCTTTTAGCACAAAATGCATGAAATCATATTAATAATATAGATCAATGGAAGAATTCTGTGCTTATGTTGTGTAAAGCAGATGTTAGCATTGGGGGACTAAACCCTGGTATTAACATCCGTTTTAGGTCATCCAGTCTCAAGAGGTCAGGTAAATGTAGGTAAAGGGGATTCAAAATGTGATCTGATCAAACCACCTTTAGAGGTTCTCAGAAATGCATGTGATTCCATAATATTTTAAGTGTAAACGATAATCTGTCCCAGCACCATCAAAGTACCTTTAACTCACTTGTCAGTCAACCACTGTGGTAAAACAGTGGTTTTCAAAAATGGCTGCCCACTGTGTGTGTGTGTTCACTGCTGTGTGTGTGCAGTTGGATGGGATAAATGCAGAGCACTAATTCTGAGTATGGGTTACCATACTTGGCCACATGTCACGTCACTTTTGAACACTTGTACATACATGCACAAAAGTGACACATTTTAAATGCCTCCGTATAGCCTGACCGCTTGTGATCATATCACGCAAGACTGATGTTAATAACAGGTGTTAACAGGGCCAATGTTGCGTGACTACTTCTAAATGAGGGATGTTGTGCTTTATAGCAAGACCAGAAGAACATTAGGGTCTTTATGGGTGTGCACATTTCAAATACATCTGGC